GTACAGGGACTTTGGCCCAATTTCGGAGCAGCTTTAAGAATTTGTAAAAAATCTAATTTTGGTTTGAATTAGCTCAGACTTGCTACGTAATATGAGTACATGAATATGTATCAGAAAAAATATGAAAGTGAAGAATTCTTACCTGGCAATTTGTGGTGAAATTTGGCTGATGACCCTGTACTATAGTACAGGGACTTTGGCCTGGTTTTGGTGCAATTTAAAAGTTTGTAAAAATTAAATTTTGATCAAAATTAGCTCAAGCTTGCTACACAACATAAGAACATGTACATGTATGTGTATCGGAATAAAGTATAAAAATGAAGAATTCTCACTTAACCATTTTGAAGGGAGACAGTGTTGTTTATTCTGAGTTTGCTTTAGGGTGGATCAGTCATTACTGCTGAAATGGCTCAGAATGAAAGAACTGTTCACACCAACTTCTTCAATGGTACGTCCATTGATATGAATACTCTTGTGTATGCTATAATCTTTCTTTCTTTTTCTCTTTATTTAGACTTTGATGATATTTTTAATGACGAAGACTTGGACTAATTTTTAAAAATAATTATTCATCACCGTGTTACTGTACAAAAATTTAATCAATTTGTGTTTGGAAATAACTGAGATTATTTAGGATTGACATCACTCATAATTTAGACAATTTGAATGTTTATCAACATTGTGTTCTACAGTATAGTTATGCTCATATGTAATCTTCACCAGTAGCATCAGTTGATGCTTAAATCTCATAAATAACTTCATTCTCTCCATGCAGTCTTACCCTGAAGTATCCACTGAATCACCAACTACTGGGGCAGAACTGCAAATTTTTTGGCAATTTTTTAAGGAAGGAGTAAGGCAAAACAAACAAACTTAGTATTACATTCAATACAGAAATAATAAATTGCCACACTCTTAATAATCAAATTGAAGTAAACAACAGACATACATGTAATAACAATTACTAAGATTTCGTTCACTGCTTGATGCAAACTGCTCAAATGTACTCATAAATTCCTGGTTGACATTCATCACAAATTTCTTCAATATCTTTTCTTTGTTGAGTCTTGTGAAATTCGTATGGTTCACATACTTGCATTGCAATATCTTTATCAGTTATTCGAAGGGTTGGGGTGGGACTAATAAATTGAGTATGTACATTCAAAAAACTGGTAATTATATCACTGTAATAATTATAACTAACTTTGAATCTTTACTCATAGTAAAAGAATCTTTCATTCTAAAAATACTAATTATCACACAAGACTACATAGTTGATTATTAACACCTTATAAAGCAGCAGATATTAATAGTAACACTGACAGTAAATAGAATCAACAATGCACCTACTGACACACCAAGAGCAATAACACTATCACTGTGGATTGACGAAACTGATGGAATAGAAAAAGTTGTTGCCTCTGTTGATGTATTACTGATTGAAGGAGTTACTGAAACTGATGGAGTAGCAGTACTGACTGAAGAATAATGTGTTGTAGTTGTATCTAAAGCAAGTTTAACTGAATGAAGATGTGTGGAAATTCAAAATTGACTCACCACCAAATCTTAACACTGTTGTTGCACTACTAGTTAAAGCCTCTGGAGCATCTATGTTTGAGGAGTTACAGGTATCAAATAGAAAGTACATCAACAATGTTACCAGTATATTTTAAAAGTTAATACCTAGTAAGGTCTGTACACTGATTGTACTACTAGCAGGTCCCAGTAATTGTTGATAGGCTCTGACAGTGATGCTATAAGTTGTTCCTCCTCTCAGTCCATTCAGTGTGATTGTATTATTACTACTTCCCTCCACCTGTA